TACGCTTTTGGCAAAAGCGGGTTTACTTCCGTTTTTTTGGGGGGGGGAGAAAATGCCCCATAGCAAACAATGGGTTTGCTTAACAACTGCAATGTTTTGCTTAATGACTGCAGAGTCACTTAATGGCTAAGTGATTTGCTTAATGGCCACAGCAAAAAAAAAATAGATTGTAAAATCAGGTTGTCCACGTGATAGATGCACTTTACAACCAGTATAACTTGTGACTCCATTACAGTCGTACGTCAAGGATTCCATGCACTGCTACTAAATGTACAAGTCACCTTGTTGGAAAGTATTGTGTCTGATGTATTTATATGCCTGGAGTGGCAGAGACTGAGCCTGTATGGGGGCAGGAATTCAGAACCATGTCCTCCTCCTTTATGAGGGATCTAGCAAGAGCACTTAGACTTATATACCGCTTCACTCTGCTCTACATCCCGCAGGGCCTTCCTTCCTTCCTTCCTTCCTTCCTCCCTCCCTCCCTCCCTCCTTCCCTCCCTCCCTCCCTCCCTCCCTCCCTCCCTTCCTTCCTTCCTTCCTTCCTTCCTTCCTTCCGACTTAGCAATAGCACTTAGACTTATATACCACTTCATGGTGCTTTACATCCCTCTCTAAGCAGTTGGCAGAGTCAGTATAGTTGTATTTCCCTGAATAATCTGGGTCCTCATTTTACCAACCTCAGAAGGATGGAAGGCTGAGTCAACCTTGAGCTGGTCAGGATCGAACTTCCTGGCAAGTAGGTAGGTAGGTAGGTAGGTAATAGATAGTAGATAGATAGGTTGCATTGCACTTGCATTTGAGGTACGGAAGCACTTCTGGGTTGAAAGGATCAGTTGCCTGGGGGGGGGATACCCAGTCAGGGGTTTGTTTCATATCCCTGTCAGTAGCTGGAGTGAAAAACAAGAGCCCACCCCACCCTATGGTGGGCATTTAGGTCTCAAACGTGGGTTTTCTGCTTGTCAACCAAACATCTTAAACATGTGAGCAACTCTGCTCTGATAGATAGATAGATAGATAGATAGATAGATAGATAGATAGATAGATAGATAGATAGATAGATAGATAGATATAGACAGGCAGACAGGTAGACAGACAGATATCTTTTCACTGATTTATTGATAGAATGATATAAAGTCTCTTGCTGGATAGATGAGTGGATGGATGAATAGATGGAGAGAGAGATACGAATAGACAGGCAGGCAGGTAGACAGACAGATGTCTTTTCACTGATTTAGTGATAGAGTGATATAAAGTCTCTTGATGGATAAATGGATAGATGAATAGATGGACAGATAGACAGACAGATAGAGATGATAGACAGACAGAGACAGACAAGAGTCTTTTCACTGATTTATTGATAGAGAGATATCAACTCTCTTGATGGATAGATGGATAGATAGATAGATAGATAGATAGATAGATAGATAGATAGATAGATAGATAGACAGACAGACAGATAGATTTTTTTGTGTTCCCGAAATCTTGACCTGAACTACCTCAAAGGCTATCAGCGTCCTACCATCTTCAAGTACTTTCCCAGGGAGTTTAGTCAGGTCAGTCAGAGGTCAACAGCAACTGCAGCCTGTACTCCATTCAGCAAAGCAGTTAAACCAGTCGAAATCCAGCATCTAACTTTACTTGCTTACTAAAGCACCTCACCAAACTGTGGCTCATCTTGAAAGAGCCCAGCTCAGTTGGGTGAGCATCAGGAAAGGCCAGAAAAGGCCTTGTAACCAAGGAAACAACTGAGCTGTGTCCATGGGCTGTAGTCACAAGGAGTTAAATGTGACTCAAAATGGTCCTTACCTTTTATTTATTTATTTTTTAAAAAAGATAAATCAGCAGGCCATTCTTGTATTCACAGGCTGTGCAGTGCTGCTGTTGGAAGGTTTAAAGTGATGTGGTGGTGGTGGTGGGGGAACCCTGTAGGTTATTTTTAAAGCATTAATAATGTGCACATCGTCTTCCGTTAGGCTTCTTTGAGCGATGCGTTTTCATTTCAACAAGCTATTCCTTCCAGAGACCCCTCTGTCTTCCCTGTTCCCATGACAGCAGGCTTATATTTTAGACGTATTTGGTATCTCTCTTCTGCATTGTGCTCACTGGTAAATACCAGGGCAATTTGGAAATAAACCTCCATTTGGTTATCCATGACAGACACTCGCAGATACGGAACTTTTATTATACACATTAGAAAACTATAACATGACATGACTTTTCGACATAATAGTCATTCAAACTGAGGCCCTTGCCATAACATCTTACAAGGAATAGAATAGAATAGAATAGAATAGAATAGAATAGAATAGAATAGAATAGAATAGAATAGAATAGATATTGGAATATAGAATAGAGAATAGAGTAGAATAATAGAATAGAATAGAATAGAATAGAATAGAATAGAATAGAATAGAATAGAATAGAATAGAATAGAATAGAATAGAATAGAATAGAATAGAATAGAATAGAATAGAATAGAATAGAATAGAATAGAATAGAATAGAATAGAATAGAATAGAATAGAATAGAATATGATGTCATATCCCTCCCCCTCTATTGAGAGAGGGCTATTCAATTTTGACATAGATGGCCTCTTTGACCCCTCTTTCAGACCAAGGTCCTCTCTGTCCAAAATGTGGACTTTGGGATAGCTATCACCTGGATGACTGAGAATTTCCGTAGACATTTTTCTGTTAGCACAAAATTCAAAACCAAGAATTGTTCGCAGCTTTGGAGCTTAAATGCTGATAGTTGAAAAAACGGTAGGACTTCCCCAGAAACTGCCCAGATGCTCAGGGAGGGAGATGATAAACAGAAGGAGGCAGCAGATTGCAAGATACATTTCTAACAGGAACCAATTCTTCTTCCTTTGACAGACAGACTCTGCTCTGTCGTTTTCCCCTTTCTGGAGCCAAGAGGCAAAACACAAATAATTGATTTTTTTTAAAAAAAAAAAAAAAGTTGGGTGAAGCTTACTTCAGAGTAAATTAAGGAGACCTAGCTATATTTCTTTTGAATTAACATCAATCTGAGTTGCTGCTTATTTCTTAGATGGAGTAGAAGGAAAACTATTGCATAAAAATTATATATATATATATATATATATATATATATATATATATATATATATATATATATATATATATATATATCACATTAGCCCAGGACTCTGCAAACATTGGAAATAATATGCCAGTTGCCAAGTATTTTGATAGTGTGATCAATGGTAATGCTGCAACAGTACAAACGTTGTACAAACTTTGTCCAACTAAGTACAAAGACTGATCATAGGTCATTTTTTTCAGGGCTATTGTACTTTTGAATAACGGCTAAATGAATATTGTAAGTTGAGAACTAGACAAATAGAGAGATATAGACAGATACAGAGAGATATATAGACAGAGTGCAATGAGATAACTCTCCACAGCCAACTCATCACGGCCAACTCGTCACGGTCAACCCGCCATGGCCAATTCTTCATGACCAACTCTTCATGACCAACTCATCATGGCCAACTCATCACGGCCAACTCAGCATGGCCAATTCACCATGGCCAACTGGCCATGCCCAACTCATCATGGTCAACTCATCATGGCGAACTCTCCATGGGACAACTCTCCATGGCCAACTCATCATGGCCAACTCTCCATGGCCAACTCATCATGGCCAACTCGCCATGGCCAACTCCTCATGTCAACTCCTCATGGCAAACTTGCCATGGTCAACTCATCATGGGACAACTCACTGTGGGACAATTTAACAATTCAATTATTTAAAGCAAATAAAAAAAGTATTTTAATTTTTGTCATTCACGTTTCATTCTGTCCCTCCTTTTCCATCCTTTCTTTAATGATTCCATTCCACCATTTCTTTGATATTAATATAACTCTTGTCCTGTGATGAGCTGGCTATGGAAAGTTGACCACGGCAATTTGGCCGTGACAAGGTGGTGGTGATGAGTTGGTCATGGTGAATTGGCTTTGGTGAATTGTCATAGACCCAAGACAGAGAGAAGGGGTGTTGTTCTGTGTAGAGGTATATAGACAATACAAAGATACTGATGTCCTTTCTGCAATTAGAGTTGACAAAAAATTGCTCAACGTTTTATCCTCTCAGAAGGTAGAAGCAGAACTAGCATTCTTTAAACACTGCTATCCCCCCCGGTCCTCTTCTGGCATAGCACTTTTCAAGCCAGCAACCAGAATTCAGAGACATCATTTTGGTCTCTCTGTGCGTAAACCCCTCTCATCCTCAAGAGCTTTTCTTATGTCTGCTCAGGTGATTTGTTACCTAGCTGGATGTGGGAATAAAAAAACCAAGACAGATTTCTGAAAACAAAGGATTCTCTGGGGAGAATAACGAGATTTGGTATTCAGCCAAACTAGACATGTAGCTGGAAGATGATTCAGGCAGGGCACCTGTGGATTTACCTTATGAAATGTCAAATCTGCAAAACATTCAGCTGGATCTATTGCAGAGCAGAGATCAGGACAACAGATTCAAATGATTCTCTGAGTGCAGAGAAGAGCAACAAAAATGATCAGGGAACTGGAGGCTAAAGCATATAAGGAACGGTTGCTGGAATTGGGTAGGTCTAGTTTAATGAAGAGAAGGACGAGGGGGGACATGATAGCCAATGTTCCAATATCTCAGGGGCTGCCCCAAAGAAGAAGGGGGTCAACCTATTCTCCAAAGCACTAGAAGGCATGACGAGAAAAAACAGATGGAAACTAATCAAGGAGGGAAGCAACCTAGAACTAAGGAGAAATTTCCTGACAGTGAGAACAATTAAACAGTGGAATGGTTTTCCTTCAGAAGTTGTGGGTGCTCCATGACTGAAAGTTTTTAAGAAGCTATGCCCATGCCTTATGTGTGATTGTGACTAGACCTGAGTTGGGCTTAGGGTTTATTTTCAAGCAAAACTCAGCCAGGTTTCCCCTGAAATTACTGCCAGGAAATGAATACCAAGCCGGCAGTTTTGAAAAACTCCAGGAACGTACCTTTTGCCATCGCAGCGCGATGCGGCATTGTTTAATATCACCAGGCAGCCTCACGATCACCATGGAAACTGCAAACAAAAAGGAATATGAAGCATTGAGACACGTCCTTTTCCAGAGTCTCTGTTTCCCTGTTTTTTTGGGGGGGAAAGGACACATTTCCACTGCAGCTTCCTTCCAACAAATTCAGGGCACCACCCAAAGAGCTACCTCACTTAGATTCACAACTGCCTTTTAAGGTAGGTTAGCCCAAAAACTAGCATGCTTTTCCAACATTTTGTAGCAAAAGGAATGCAAAATCAGAATTCAGATCCTTCTAATCCATCGCTGCTCTCAGTGGTTGAGCCAGGAGAAATGGTGGGATTCAAATAGGTGAATAACTGGTTCTCTGTGTGGATGCCACTTCCAGAAGTCCATTCTGGGCCTGGGCAACAAAAGATTAGCTACCGGTTCTGCTGAAGTGGTGCAAACTGGCTGAATCCCACCACTGGCCAGGAGCCTTAGCAAATCACAGCGTAAAAGCTAAATATTTCATTGTTCTATATTCATTTCTGTTAGGGTAGGTGTAGACTTTACATTAGAAGGCTGAAGGGATGATGTTAAGCAATACATATGCTGTAGGATTAAGCTCGCTCATAATACTGAGTTGATTCGCTTACCTATGATCTCTTGAAGCAATCCTAGATAAGCTGCATAAATCCTAAATTGGCTCCATTTTATACAACGTATGACTGTAGAAACCCACAAACCCAATCAGGATCAAACGTGATTTGTCAAGGAGGATGGAGAGTTAGAAAAAAAAAAGAGGAGAAGAGCAAAACATTGGGAGAAAGAGATGTTAATGTGAGTGTAGCTACAATATATCTAATAGCACAAATATAAGCCGAGTTCCAGAGCTAAACATCAAACGTATTTTGACCCCAAACATATTACCAAGATCTTCTTGACTAGGGTAGGGATCGCACAACAGAGAACACTGTAGCTTTTGCCGGCTAATTTTAATCAGAGGAACTGTCAATTGACAAAAAAAAAAAAAAAACATCATTTCTTCCTATTGTATCCCCTCCTTTTAATTCCATTTCATCAACACTGCGAGGTCATTTTAGCTCAGAGAGAAGGGAAGAGAAGAGAAGAGAAGAGAAGAGAAGAGAAGAGAAGAGAAGAGAAGAGAAAAGCTGGAAGGGACTTTAGAGGTCATCTAGTCCAAACCTCTGCTCAAGCTAGAGACTCTATGCCATTCCAGACAAATGGTTGTCCAATCTCTTCTTAAAAACTTCCAGTGTTGTAGCACTCACAACTTCTGATGTTTTACTGTTTATTGTTCTCATTGTTAGGCAATCTCTCCTTAGTTCTAGGTTGCTTTTCTCCTAGTATAGTAGAGAGCAGTGTTCCAATATCTCAGGGGCTGCCCCAAAGAAGAGGGAGTCAAGCTATTCTCCAAAGCGCCTGAGGGCAGGAAAAGAAGCAACGGATAGGAACTAACCAAGGAGAGAAGCAACCTAGAACTAAGGAGAAACTTCCTGACAGTTAGAACAATTAACCAGTGGAACAACCTGCCTCCAGAAGTGGTGAATGTTCCAACACTGGAAGTTTTTAAAAAGAGACTGGACAGCCATTTGTCTGAAATGGTATAGGGTTTCCTGTCTAAGAAGGGGGTTGGACTAGATGACCTCCAAGTCCCTCCCAACTTTATTATTATTATTATTGTTGTTGTTGTTGTTATTATTGTTGTTGTGGATGATGATGATTAGTCTCCATCCCTTGTTGGAAATTAAAGTTAGAAACCTCAAGACGAAGCTGGTTTTCTTTTGTTTGTTTTTTAATTTTAGGCCAATACTTTAACTGCCATCCATACTAGTTTCCAATTATAAACAGAATAACTAAAGTGATTGCCCGCTGCCACCTTCATCTCCTTCTTACGAGCTTCCATTAAGATACTTTTGAAAACATTCATTATTTCAACCCACAACGGCAACTTTTATTGAGCATGCTCACCAAAACTGCTGCTTAAGGTGGTCTGAAAAAAAAAAATCCAGTGATTGTATAAAGATTTTCATTAATTGGGTCCCGATTTCTGTTTTTTCCAAAAGCAGAGTTTTATTAAAACTCGCTATCTTTGAATTATTCCACCGTAGTCTACCGACAGAATAGTAAAATCTTTATGATTATCTTTGTTTCTGTAATAATCAGCTGAGGCTAGAGCAAAGAATTCACAGTGCGTACATATGTATTCATCAAATATGAGTTCACCTGATACTCGAGTTTAAAGAGGGAAAAAAAAGAATCCTTTTGGAAAATGGCAGGAATGGAAGACAAGATTACGGTTAAAAGGAGTGCATAATAATTACTAAAAATATGAATCTAGCATGAGAATTCATTTTTCATTAGTCAGGAAACCACATCGGGGCTCAAATCATAGTTTCTCCCCCCCAAAAAATGGGAATTAACTTTTGGATAGTTGTGAATGGATTTACAAAGAAACATTTGCTCGGATCTCAATTGGTTAGAAAGAGAAGACATAGATAGAACATAGAATAATAGAGTTGGAAGGAACTTTAGAGATCTTCTAGTCCATCCCCCTGTTCAAGCAAGAGGCCCTTATACCATTGCAAAGAAGTTCTCCAAGTTTGACATGGAAGACGTTGCCTCATTGTTCAAATGTGTTCAATCTCAACTGGTTAGAAAGGTAGAACATAGAATGAGTTGGAAGGGACCTTGGAGATCTTCTAGTCCAACCCCCTGATCAAACAAGAGACCCTAGACCAGTGGTTCTCAACCTTTTTAATGCCATGACCCCCAATCGGTCGTAAGTCAAGGACTAGTCAATCGGTCGTATGTCGAGGACTACTCAACTGGTGCAGCACCGTTTGCAGAATGGGACTTTTGGCGGGCTCAGCAGGGCAGAGACAGCCTGGACAATTCCTATTGCTTTTGAAAGCCAATAGAATTAGACTCTATTCAAGAGAGTCTATTCTATTGGCTTTCAAAAGCCAATAGAATAAAAGGGAGTAGCACAGTTAAGGAAAAGGGGGAAAAAATGGCAGACTGCATTGTTTGGCGACCCCCGTGAAATGGTCGTTCGACCCCAAATGGGGTCCCGACCCACAGGTTGAGAACCACTGCCCTAAACCATTTCAGATAGGTGGCTGTCCAGTCTCTTCTTAAAAGGTCCAGTGATTGAGCACCCACAACTTCTGGTTGATTGTTCTCACCATTAGGAAATTTCTCCTAAGTTCTAGATTGCTTCTCTCCTTGGTTAGTTTCTAACCATTGTTTCTCATCTCGCCTTTTGGTCCTTTGGAAAATAGTTTGACACCCCCCCCCCTCCATCTTTGTAGGAGCCCCTCAAATATTTCTAAGACATGATTAATATTGAAGAGCAGCTGCAATTCTAATGCATCTTCAGCAGGTGGCCCCATCTGACTGACCTCTGTTGGTCTTAGAAAAGCTTAGGCAGAAAATCTCAGATCCGGCTGGAACTTGAATGAGAGACGACTAAGAATTGCAAGTTAGATCAGAAAATTGAAAGAACAAAAAAAATCTGGAAGGAGACAATCACACACCTCTTCCATTCTTCTGCCAAGCGGACAATATGCATAAAGTTAGGGAGATATTCCAGAACTCCTCAATGTGATTATTTGAGTAGTCACCATTCAAAGGGACAACGGCACTGGAGGGGGAAAAAAAGTGACTTGTGACCATTTTTCACACTTGGGACCATTGCAGCACACACATAGCCCATGGTCACATGATCAAAATTCAGATGCTTGGCAACTGGCATGTACTTAGAACGGTTGCAGTGCCCCTGGATCACGTCATCCCCTTTTGCCACTTTCCAACAAGCAAAGTCAATGGGGAAGCCAACTTCACTTAACGACTGGGTTACCAGCTTAATGACGTCAGGGATTCGCTTAGCAACGGTGGCAGGAAAATTGCTTAGACACAGAAGTATTGAGCTTAATAATAATAATAATAATAATAATAGTAATAATAATAATAAAGCCAACACAGTGCTAGGTTGCATTAACAGAGGGATAGAATCAAGATCACGTGAAGTATTAATACCACTTTACAATGCCTTGGTAAGACCACACTTGGAATCCTGCATCCAGTTTTGGTCACCACGATGTAAAAAAGATGTTGAGACTCTAGAAAGAGTGCAGAGAAGAGCAACAAAGATGATCAGGGAACTGGAGGCTAAAACATATAAGGAACGGTTGGTGAAATTGGGTATGTCTAGTTTAATGAAGAGAAGGACGAGGGGGAACATGATAGCAGCCTTCCAATATCTCAGGGGCTGCCACAAAGAAGAGGGAGTCAAGCTATTCCCCAAAGCAACTGAAGGCAGGACAAGAAGCAACGGATGGAAGCTAATCAAGGAGAGAAGCAACCTAGAACTAAGGAGAAACTTCTTGACAGTGAGAACAATTAACCAGTGGAACAATCTGCCTCCAGAAGTTGTGAATGCTCCAACACTGGAAGTTTTTAAGAAGAGATTGGACAAGCATCTGTCTGAAATGACAGAACCGGTAACTAAATTTTTTTTGAGTTTGGAGAACCGGCGGGACGACAGCTCCCAGGCCTAAAATGGCCCACCGGTATTGTGTGGATGCCACTTCTGAAAATCCTTTTTAGGCCTGGGAGGCCTAGAGGAGGCCTCTCAGGCCTAGAATGGCCCACCGGAATTGCATGGATGCCACTTCCGGAAGTCCGTTCTAGGTCTTGGACACCCAGTCCTGCATCCACGCAGAGAACCAGTTGTTCAGGTATTTGAATCCCACCATTGGACAAATGTCATGCTTAACAATGGAAACTTTGGGCTCAATTGTGGCCGAGGACTCCCTGTTATTGCGTTCTCATTCATGCATTATCCATGCTACATTTGCAGTACAGCAGTTGCTTCTTTCAACCTAATGTCAAAAGTCTCAAAACACAAAAGAGGAACCCAGACATATTTCGACAACTGAGCATAATGCAAAAACATATCCTTCGCCCATGGAGGTACAAAGACCTACGTTTTCTCCGGCTGATTTTTCCTTCCCAGATTCTTGGGATAGCCCAGGACCTTTTC